TTCTTGTCATCTTTCCAATCTTTATTGAGTTGATGGATAATATAAATACAAAATAAGTAAAAACTTACTTTATGTAGTTGGCTTTCTTGTCATCTTTCCAATCTTTATTGAGTTGATGTATTTTACAAGCTACATATCGCTGCTCTTTCAAATCAAAAGCCTGATAGAAAAAAAACAAGGGAGGGTTGTGAAACACAGTTAACTTTTGTAAATGTGGCTTTAATATACTTATACAATGCCATCCAATAAAATAAGACACACTCATAGAACTTGCAACTGTGTTGTAACTAAGTAAAAACCCAACAGAGAATGTAATAATGCACTATTTTATGTGAATCTACTTGTGTATACATACATAACATTGAAAGGGTTTTGTGTACTGAAAAGTCACGTAATAGTTACAATATACATTAAGTTACGGATATGTATTTCCTTTGTTTATCAATAAAACATCATTACTTTAGTAGTGTACAAAACACAAACTTGAATATTATAGTTTCAAAACCATTCTTCAAAGGTTTATCTTTAAGTTAAGGTACATTTTATAGAAGTACGGTCTGCTTTCTAACAATTCTCCGCTTAAAGAGTTTAATAGCGTAATGTTTTCTTTCTTTATACACAAACATGTGGAAATCAATTCTGAAGTAAAAAGTTGTTTGATACTTTGTTATTTTTGCTCTAAGAATTCTTTGACTGTTTCTTCAAATGTAACTAACATATAATACTCACTATTCAGACTACTTATATCTAGCTTTTTATCCTCGGCCATTTTGTTGAAAAATTAAGAAATTGACACCATTAACAAACCCCAACAGTTATAAATTAGTTCTAACCATTTCCTTATAACATTGACATATTAGTCTACTGCAGGGGTTCTAAAATATTTTTGGGTCAAACCTAACTTTATAAATAAATATGTAACTTGCCCCTCCCCTAAAAGACTTGCACACACTTAGAAATAACATACAAGATGGTACCTTTTTCTCATGCCCCACAAACGTATTCATTTTTGTGTATTTTACAATTGTGCAATTCGGCAGGAACAGAGAGAGAGAGCCATTGAAACCTGGCTAAATTAAAAGTCTGCTCTGATTGGTTCTCTGCTTTATAAGCACAGATTTTTTGTTTTTTAAAAGTAGATATAAAAACGAAGGTTAACTATATATATTTTCAAGTGTACAAATTGAAAATATAAACATAAAAAAACTTCTGTTACATTATTGCATTATCTGAACACTACCATTCACTCTTAAAAAGTTTGACACCCCAGCCACAGGGGATGTGTCCCCCACTACTTGAGAACTTCTGGTCTAGTGTGTGTTATCAGCTAAGATACAACTGACATTGTTATTAAGCATATTGGCATTCAAGCTCAGATAGAAATTAAAAATTCGTTTCACTACCAATACATCAATAATAGTTATTTGGTAATCAAGATATTATGAAAGCTACTACATTCTTTCTTGTTTTTAAATTTAAAATATACGGTAGAATATCCTTCAATAAATTAAATCAACAAGATTACCCCCAGTATTAAGAATAACAAAAATAAAACAGAATAACACAGATTCTTATTCTTACTTTATGAACTTCACTAAATCCTCCTTTTCCCAGCAAGATCAACAGTAAGTATTTATCAATCAAAACGGTATGGTTACTAAACCTGAAAAACAAACACAAGTAACTGTTTTAATAACACAGGAAATTTTTCTCTCATAAGAAGTCATCAGCTCAGATTGTTTTTAAAAAAATATCACACTCATTTCAAATCAAACACTTTTCTTTGTTTTTTTGGAAACATAACAACTTATAATATTTCCAACCCTCTGAGTTCTACAGGCTCTTATGGATCCTAAAATCATTATTCTCTCGTCTAAGGAGCTATTTTGCATTTGTTTTTTTAAAACCCTTTTTTTTTTTGGAACAGTTTCTTGATTTTTAGTTTTTAATCTCTGCATGTAATGGAATGGATCCAGTGGAGATCCGATGAAGAAGGAAATCTCTGCACATGATGGAATGGATCTAGTGTGGATCTGATAAAAAAAGAAATCTCTGCACATAATGGAATGGATCCATAAGGAATCCGATGAAGAAAGCAATTTCTACAAATGAAAGAATGGACCTAGTGTTGATCTGATCAAGACAGTAGTTTCCAGACTTATTAAAATATACCAAGTGGAAATATGATTAAAACAGCAGTTTCAACACATGATGGAATGGATTAAAACAGCAGTTTCAACACATGATGGAATGGATTAAAACAGCAGTTTCA